ACTCACCTCAGCCTCCCAAAGGCGCGGGATGACAGGCTGAGCCACTGAGCCCGGCTGAGATGTCCTACTTTTATATGCCAGACCAGAATATACCTTACAGATATTTATTTATATCTTTGCCTGAAACTTCTGTCTCCCTAAAATGTATAAAACCAAGTAACACAATCACTTTGGGCTCATGTTCTCAGGACCTCTTGAGGTTGTACCACGGGCCACAGTTACTCAAATTTGGCTCAAAATAAATCTCTTTAAATATTTTACAGTTTGACTTTTCATCAACACACTCTTAGATATTCATCCCAGAGAAATGGAGACACCTGGCCACACAAAAACCTGCAATAGCAGCTTAACTCACAATTGCACAAACCCAGAAACAACTAAACTGTAAATAAACAAATAGCGGTATATCCATACAATGGAATATGACTCAGCATTATAAAGGAACTAACTACTCAAATATAACCACCACATAGATGAATGTCAAAGCATTATGTTAAGTGAAAGAAGCCAGCCTCAGAAGGTTACACAGTACATGATTCTATTTTGTATAACATTCTGTAAAAGGCAGAACTACAGAGGCAGAAATCAGATTGATTTTTCAGGGACTAGGCTGGAAAGAAGATTGGCTACAAAGAGGCACAAGGCAATATTCTGAAGTGATGGAAATATTCTCTAATCTGATGTTGAAGACTAAACTCTGACCTTTTTTCCCCTCTCTTGCCCAAATTCCTAAGGGACCTGAAGAGTCATGCTCTACAAACCATCAAGTCTCATCAGAGTTTTTTTAAAAAAATTAACCCTATATAATGTGGCTTACTTTCTAACCTGACTTTGGCATGAGATCACATACAGATAAAGAAGGAAGTAAAAAATATTTCACCCCAAACTATGTTTCTCTGACAGATTTTGAAGTGACCTTGCAAAGTTGTTTCTTGGGGAAATTTGAATCTGTAGAGAACACCTTTTAAGATATATACCATCTACTCTCTCTGAAGCTTGCTACTTAGAGGCTTCAGCTA